GGTGAGATTTGTATTGAACAGAAAAGCAAATACGTGAGATGACGAGGGCTTTATTAGACAGAAGTGGAGTATGTAAAGACAGATGAGAAAAAGGAAGAAAAGTGAAAAGTGCAAAGAAAACTAGGCAGTCATGAGAAAGGAAACATAAACATGAAACCCACCTCACAAGCTCTAGAGCAGTAAGATAAAATCCAGCTTACAAAGGTGCTTTGATAGTGACTTCAAAATTACAGTGCAATATACAGGTAACACATTTGTTATGAAGGGTCAATGGCCAGCAAGACAGTTGTGGTAGAATACAGAATACAAAGTAAACTGAAAGCAGTACCCAGCTAGTAAGACAATGTGCGTGTAGGTGCTGCAGTGAGCATTCAGTGATTATGGAAATGTCAGCTGGAATTACTTTTAGGATTGATCTGAGTTCAACTAGAAATCAAAACCAAAGCTGTATTATGTTTCAAGAGGAATTCAATCAGCAACTTCACTTCTTGCTGTGTGTGTGTTCATTCATGTGAGTGCAGGCACACATGGGGTCAGAGGGCACTTTAGGTGTCCATCCTTACCTCGCACCTTGGTTCAAACAGGGTCTCCCTAGGTGTTGCACCTGTGAGGCTAACTGGCCCATGAGTTCCCAGAGACTCACCTGTCTCCACCTTCCATCCCACAGTAGAAATGCTGCGATTACAAACGCAAACTACCAAATCTAACTTTACACAGGTTCTGAGGATCTGTACGCAGGCCCTTAAAAATCATGCAATAAATGTTTTACCCACTGGGCCATTTCTTCAGCCCTGAACCAGTAACTTTAAATCAGAGTTTCCTGGCCTCAGCTCTACTGACATTTAAGGCAGTCTGCTTTGTTGTGAGATGCTGTCTTCTACACACACACTGCAGTATGCTCAATGGCATCCTTGACCTTGACCTAAGAGCCAACAGAACTATTCTCTCCTGACTTTGAAATGGCAATCAGACATGCTAAACATTGATTTAACTGACAGCAACAGCTCTGGAACCATAAGAAAAACTTAGGGATTGCATTTATGGCTCTCCCATTATAAACTGAAAATAAAACATGGTAACTGGGAGCTGAATGCCTTGTATAATAGCCATTAGTCACATTATGGCTAGTAAGAATTGAAATACACTGTAAAATATATTTAAGATTATAAAGATTTAGTATTTAAAAGAATGTAAACTATTTCAGTAATTTGAAAACAAACGTATTTTACTGATTATTGTATGTGAAAGTCAGTGTGGGCATGCAACTATCACAGTGTACACGTGGAGATTAAAGACAACTTTCAGAAGTCTGTTTTCTCCTTCCACCATGGGATTCAATTGTCACACTCATGTCATCATGTTTCCATAGAAAGCACTTTTATCCACCAAAACATCTTGCTGACCCTGGTTCAATAATTTTTATACTGGTTACAAGCTAATGTGTTAACGTTCTGGATACAGTTAAGTTTAAATAAAAGACATTATTTAATTAAGTCTATCTGTTTATTTTTATCCTACTATCTGATAGGTTGATCAAGCTCCAATAAATGGCTCAATACCTATGGTCAACACAAATTGGGCTCCATGGATTATTATTTTAAAAAGACATAAAAATGGGAGGGTGTGGGAAGTAAGGAGATGATAAATGAATAATTAGGTGAGGAGAGAAGTAGGATGTGAACATGACCAAAATACACAGAATTCTGTAAATTCTTAAAATGTGAGCTACTTACTAGAAGAGTTAGCATTGCATATGTGGCTTGTATTACAGCTCTACTGAACAGAGCTGAAGTCAGCAATAAAAGTCATGCTTCACACCACCAGTGGCCTTAGATGAAGGAAGGCCACTCCACAGGGCTGTCTTCAGCATTCCCCTTGAATGATCTCAGTCTTCTTGCACCAATGAAGTCTGGATATGCATTCCCAACTATCTACAATGCCACTTGGATCTCTCAAAGCAGTGGTTCTAAACCTTTCTAATGCTGCGACCCTTTAATACAGATCCTCATGTGACCCCCCCAGCCACACAATTATTTTTGTTGTTACTTCATAACTGTAATTTTGCTACTGTTATGAATCTAATGTATATATCTGTGCTTTCTAATCATCTTTTGGGGTTCATGACCCACAGATTGAGAACTGCTGTCCTAGAGAAACTGTAAAGTTAAATGAGCATCACCCCCAAAAGTTTTCTCCCCAATAGCTCATTTTAGTAAATGGTGCTTAATAAGTGGGTGCATCAGTCATAGAGTTTCTTCTCTGAGCCATCTGCAACCTCTCAGCAATTCCTGCTTCTTAAATATTTCTGGAAACTTCCCTTTTCTGACTCCATTGGATAAGCCAAGTCACAGTTATGTCTCCTTTAATTCAACTCCCCCTGGCTCTTGTTACAGTATGCCCTATCACAGATAAAGCACTTTGCTCATTGCTATCTTTCCTATAGAACATTATACTATGGAAGGGCACACTTAGCTTTCCTTATTACTTGTTACAATACTGTTTCACTCAATTATGAATTAACAGATGAATAATCAAGAACAAAGTACTACTCAGAGCATTCCACTTACTAAGGAGCTAGATTACAAGAATGATGACTCCCCTGCATGTGAGGTAAGGGGAAACATCTTTCCTTGTATACGAACATCAGTACATATGTACTGGGAAAAGTACTAGGATTCTAGAAAGGGTAGCAGGAGAGAAGGAGAGAGGCAGAGGGTGCTTAGGGACCACATGCCCCAGACTCTTTAACAAATCAGGCATGAGCCTGAATTCAAATTGCAGCCTTCCTTCAGTTCTGATACAGTTCTGGATAAGGAAGGGATTGTTCCCAAACAATCCCTCAGCCTTGCACCAACCCGATGCCCAACATCTCCCATCTCAGATTCCATGATCCTAGAATATCTACCGCTTCAGATTTACTCATTGAAAAGTAGCTGAGGTCTATAAAGAACAGTCATGAATAAGAAAAACTACTCCTAAAAGTAAGCCATTCTTCCACAATGTAATGACTGTTCCCCAGGGTCCTTTCATTGGGAATTATCAACCACCTTCCTGCCTAAGTAAACCTTCATCATTCCCTAGTCCATCACTAGTCTAAAGGTGGAAGAGGTCATGGGATAAACCAAAACAGCATCTCTACTGTCAAGCAAGTTATAACTGCCCTCTTGGAAGCTTAGAAACAGTCAGAACGTTCCCCACTGTGAGTGATGATCTAGGGTAAGGAAGAACTTTTAAAGACTCTTCCCAAAGTATGTATTTCTAAAAGAATATGTAGACACAAAGGCAAAAACTAGTTCTATGTTTTTATTTATTTTACCAATTGGTTCTACAGACAGTGAGGCAGGAGTAGAATTCATACAGATGGGACATGCATGAGGATTCATGGTATAGACTACACAGGCCAGGTTAGCTACAGGGCCACAGATACTTAGGGGGTTATGCTTGGGTATCTGACCTTACACACTGCCTTATTTACAAGTTCTAAAAAGGAGGCAGGGTTGCTGTGGCACAAACCTTTAATCCCTGCAGAGGCAAGCAGATTTCTATGAGTTCAAGGCCAGGTTAGTCTACAAAGCAAGTGCCAGGATAGCCAGGGCTGTTATACAGAGAAATCCTGTCTTGAAAAACAAAAACAAAACAACAACAAAAAAAGAAAAATTTAAAAAGGTCTTCTATGGGGACTGGGAAGAGTGGTCAGGTATTAAAGTGTTTGTCTTGAAAGCATAAGTAACCAAGGTCAATTCTCAGCATGCCAGTAAAAAGACAGGCATGGTGGTGTACACTGTAATTCCAGCATGGCGATCTCCAGGGCCCAGCCTAGCCTCATCTGGGGTCCCAGGGATAGGCCATCTTTAAACACAAAGTGGACAGGGAACAGAGAAACCCAAGTTTGACCTCTGGCCTTCACATGCATTTGTACACAAGTGCACACACACAGTACCTCATGATTTTTCATGTCCTACCCACCTCCCCATGCCCTGTGTCCTCCGCCATCCCCTTCATGTATGTCTGTATGAGGATGCCAGATCATCTGGAACTGGAGTTAGAGACAGTTAGGAGCTGCCATGTAGATGCTGGGAATTGAATCCAGGTCCTCTGGAAGAGCAGCCAATGCTTTTAACTGTTATAAAGTGTCTTGCCTCACTGGTTCTTTTCTTTCTCATAAATAATTCTCCTTCTACTATAATGGTGTGTGTGTACATGTGAATGTCTATTATGTATGTATATGCACACAGATTCCACATATGAAAGAAAAACATGTGATATTATTTTCCCTATTACCCCGTCAGGATCTTCTGATGACTTTTTTTGCCCATAACACAGTTCAATATTCCTGATTTCAGTAAAAACATTTGATTCTCCAGTAAGAGCAAGCAACTGAGGTATAACAAAACACAGCAATAAACTTAGAGAAAACAGACAGACAACTCAGACTACCCCTCAGTTCTTCTGTTACTTTAGACAAATTCCAAGGCTCTTGACACCATGTATTTTCAATGGACATTTATGTGTCCAAAGCAACGAAACATGAAGCATATGTGGAAGAGTTCTTTTTTTGTGTGTAAAGCATAGATGAAAACCACCTTTCTGTGTGTTAACATTTCATGGGGTGAGTTTGTTAGTAGTATCTACAAAGGCTCTGCAGGGAACAAGAGTTAACTTTTGCAGGCCTCCATCTCCTTGGCCATGAATGTTCAGTATCATGCACCTTATGAGTGCTGGGATTACAGGTGTCACTACCAAGCCCAGCCTTTCATTGTTGATAGTGCATACAGAGAGACTGGGACTGGAAGTAAAGCAGGCAAAAGGGGGAAAATACTCTTTAAAGTCACTGGTCTACAAGACAAAGCTTCAAGAACACACAGGTTAGTATTTATTACTGACCAACTGGATCAGTGACAATCGTATCACTAAACACCTAACCTCCAGAGAGAAAATAAAGACACAGTAAAAGCCAGAGAATGAACAAAATGAGTCATAAATGAGGCAAAAATACAAACCTAAAACGCCAATCTCAAGACCAGACAGGCCTGTCTTAATTTTATCATAAATATCATCCAATGAAAAGTCAACAGCAATGGTCCTTGTTTCAACGTTGAATTTTTCTTCTGGAAGGAGAAAAAAAAAGGCAAATGATGAGCAAAAGGGAAAATTAATACATGGCAATTATGATTAAATCTCTGGATAACATTATCCTTTCAAACTTTCTCCCCCCAATTTGATATGACATTTAGAGCAGGATAATTTTAAGCAATCATGAAACTATTTCTAAGAGATGATAGAGAGTCAACAAAACAATAGTTCAGCAATTAAAAGTCCCATCATCGTCACCAGGCTGCCTGAGAGCACCCTGTCAATTCTCTCTTGTAAATCAATAATGATAACTACTTTTTCAGACTCAGGCCCAAATAACAAAACATGATTCATATCATAATACCATATACTCTTTAAATATCACTGCCTTTGTAATTTTAATTGCAAACTGATGTCTCTTAATCTCAGGAAGAAGTCTTTTATGTTTGTAAAGTAGCTTTTTTATTATCAATTTATTCTCTTATATATTACATCCTGCCCACAGTTTCCCCTCCCTCCTCTGTTCCCACCCCCCCTTACCCCCTCCCAATCCACTCCTCTTCCATTTCCCTTCAGAAAAGAGCAGGCCTCCCAGGGATACCAACTAAACATGGCATATCACACTGCATTAAGACTAGGCATCTCCCCCTCATACTAAGGCTGGATGAGGCAACCCAGTAGGAGGAAAAGGATCCCCAAAGCAGCCAAAAGTGTCAGAAACAGGGGGCCCCCCACATTAGGAGTCCCACAAAAATACCAGTATCTTTTACTTTTAAGATTTATATACTTATAAAGTGCATTGCTGTTTTGCTCTCATGTATGTCTGTAGGAGGATGCCAGATCACTTAGAAGTAGAGTTAGAGACAGTTATGAGCTGCCATGTGGATGCTGGGAATTGAATCCAGGTCCTCTGGAAGAGCAGTCAATGCTCTTAACTGTTGTAAAGTATCTTAAAGTGTGCTACATTAAAAGAAAAAAAGTTCATTTTGGCAAAATCAAAGTGGAATGTGTTCTTACTGTAGTTTCTGGCCTGGTTAACAATTAAGTCACTACATCTAAAGAGGCACACAAAGTGCAGAGTAATAAATACACAAAGTGACATAGGAAAGACCTTGATAATCTCCTTTTCTCAAGACTATTAAAAGTCCAAAGATTTGGGGATGGAAGTAAGAGCTTCTGAAGTGAGAACCAGGAAAAACACACTCTCCACAGACAGCATACAATGGTCATTTCTACCTTCACGAGCCAAACCCTTTGAAAAGTTTGGGATTTGAGGTCACCCAGACATAGGTGCTAATCTCCTTCCCATACTTCTTTATAGAATGACCGTGAGCAAGACAGACATCATATAGGAGCCTCAGCATGCTCATGTGACAATGAAGTAACCACTACCCAGCTAAGGCCACTGGGCTCAGATGATCACCACTGGTACAGGAGGCACCTCACAAATGCTTTTCCCTCCTCTACCACCTGCCCTCCTTTCCCAAAACTGGATAAGGATGCTCTTCTTTGGAACTTAGGATAATTCAAAAGAATTCACATAAAAAATTCTGCTTCCCAAAATAAACCTTTCTTAGTGGAAGTCACTGTGAACTCATCATGCAGTTTTCATGATTAATCCTCACAGGAAGTGTCCATTCTTGATCTCAAAGGATTTGTGGCTAAACCTAGAGCTGGCTTGTGACAGATTTGATTTTTAGTTAGAGTCAATGAAAAGTATCGACCTTACATAGAAATTCATGCATAGCCTGGAGAGAAGAATTGACCAAGAAACACCTTTCCTGGTGTTAAAGGTAAACAGACTGTTCCTGTACAGTCAGTAATATGTGTTCATGTATTGAAGAATGAACTGTTGCTTATTGCTGGGCCAATTCTGTCTTACTAGAAAATGACTCAGAATTCCCCACTCTAAGTAACACTGACTTCAAAACAATCCCAGATTAACATGGAAAAACAAGCCCCTAAACACAAGACTGAAAGTTAGCTTGTATTCAATGTAAAATGTTACCCTGAGAATAAAATACCTTTAGCTGTTTGATTTGAAGAACAACGCATTCTCTCCACATGAGCACTGAGTACTTAGTAACTGTATCTAAAAACAAAAGCCCCTATAGCCTCTGATAAACTCACCCTTTGTACCACACAGGATTTGAGGAAGGCACTTCCATTAGTGTATCTATCACTGGATACAAATGGATAAAATCAATTTGTTGGACTTTTGGAAAGAAGGTTCTGTAGTAAAGAACTGCATGAAGCTATCTTTGTGTTCACACATGGAACAAGCAACATGGCTCCTGCTGCTGGATACTCAAGATAATTAGAAGTTTTTAACTTACTCCCAGATAACTTCAAATCATGTTCAGGTCAGGAAAGCACAGCTTCTTTTCCCTTTTAGGTATTTTCCACTGCCTCTCCTATAGGCTTCCTCTTCCTCTAAGCCTCTACATATTTCCATCTCACCTGTAGTAAGAGTTGAAAGTCCTTGGCAAGCAGCCGCTACTTCTCTCAGCTCATCTCCAGCTGTTCCTCCTACTGCTTCCCAATTCTAGGACAAGGCTCCTCACGGCTCCTTGAACACAGTGCTCCAAATACATTCAGGGCATTGGTACCTCCTTTCCCCTCTATCTGGAATGTCTTTCTAAATTCCCTGTCTCTTGTTGGATCCTTGAGCAAATAGTACCTTCTCAGAGAAGCCTGGCTTGCCTAGCTTTCAAACCACTGACACCTTTGTTTTTAATTATTATGTACTTGCTTGCCTCTCTGCCCCGAGTAGAACTGAGTTTCTAGAAGACAAAGACTAGGCTCTGTTTGACACACATGGTCTCTCCATCTCAACTTCTTACATTCACTCCCTCCCTGATTCAATGAGGACCATTCCTAGTATCACACGCTCATGACAATGCCCAGTGGAAGAAAATGGACCCTTCTGTGCTAAGTCCCTTTCATTGACAGGAATATCTTTTCAGAAGAATCCTGAAGACATCTATCACATTTCCTTTCTGAGGATCATACTTTTGAGACAGGAACTGTGTCTAAGCAATCGGATAAGAAGTAAGTGCACATGTCCTAAAAGGCTCATGTGGTAAGTTGCTACCATGCTTATTTATTTTTTGAGACTATAAAATACTGACATCATTTCCTCCTTCTCTTTTCCTCCCTCCATCTGCTGGGGAAAAATAACAACTATACCAAAGTCTTAGAATGACAGGCCATTCTTATCCTTGTCCTTTCTCATCCTTCCAAGGCCCAAGGAATGACATAGCTTCTGCCAACTCTCTTAACAGTAGGAGCTATTGTAGAATAAACCCGATAGCAACAGGTGAATAGGATAAATACACACAAGAATGTGGAAACTGTTGTGGACATGAATAAGCCATGTTGGTTGCTTCAACAAGGAAATTCTTGTTGTCCAAACCATAGTAGTTCAGCCAGCAGGAAATCCTTGTGGTTTATAAATGGCTCATAGGAAAATCGTGTAGATTCTTAAGAGAAAAAAAAGATTTAAAATTCCACTGGAGAAGCTAGAAGGTGGCACAATGGGTACTCTGATGCTACAGCCATCCTATGACCTGTAAATACGGGTACTGACGCTGTAGCCATCTGTAAGTACGGGTACTCTGATTCTACAGTGCTGTAAGCAGGGATGTTCTGATCCTGCAGCCAGGTTGCTGTTTCAAAGTATCCCGAATGAGTCTGAGGTCTAGTATAGAATTAAATCCACTTCTATTCAACAGGGATCATTTTATCTTTGTTTTCACAATACCTAGTGGGATATCTGGCACGCAACAGAAATCTCTCTGCTACGGAAGCAGAAAGTGTATGGAAATCAGCATAGCTGGTGCAACAAGTCATCTTCTTGATGCTTCTTGATCTTCCCCTACAGAAGTAAACTGGTTGGTAAGACCTGCTCACTTAAAACATAGTAACATAGCCAATTAGGCATCTTAAAGTAGGAGATAAACGTAAGACAACTCAATTCTTCTCCTCTTAATCTTCCCATAAACTCAAACACATTTGAATCTTAATATCCCTTAGATACCAGCCAAAACTTGACTCGGGGCTTGGATAGGAAGGCTGAGGGCATTTGTCACGGGCATTTGTCACACTGCCCCAGTCCTGTGAGAGTGAGAAGCTCTTAAGTAAATATTGCAACCGTCAGTGATCATCTATTTTAGGTCTGAATTTATCAAGTTTCATTTAAGTACAAAGGTATGTTTAAAAGAAACTTCATTTTCACACAAAATTACACATCTTATATATTTAGAGATGTGAAAAAAAAATGAGTTTTTTGGTACTATTTCTGATTTTAAGGAGAAAACAAAGAATAAAAAGCCCCCTAACCAAATCCTTATTTCTAGCTCCTTCAGACCTGATCACATTCTCCAACCTCATCTCTGGGTGAGAATCTCCATGTCTCTTGACAGAGAGGACCTGCCTTTTGTGGCTCTGGAGGAAAGGTGAATGCACCCAGTAGAGAATGAACAGATCTGACTTGATGCTAGAAGACTCATTTAGTTAAAATTATCAGGGATACTGCAAAACTAATGGTCTGTTCTTTTCATTGCCCTTGAAAAAAAAAACGCTCATGATACTTTTAATCTCTTGTGAAAAGACCCACTTTCAGTCAAACCAAAAAAAAAAAAAAAAAAAAAAAAAAAACTCACAGCTCATTAGGATTCCATCCCCAAACAAGCATTTCTTTATTTGAAGCCAAGGTTATAGTATTTTATTCACTCTAGAGCTATGATGAGAAGGAGCACTGGTAATAAAGACTTCACATGGGCTTGCTCCACCCTCATGGCAGGGATAGCTTTATTCTTTGAAAAAGAAGCTCTACACTTGCTTAAGCCCCTCTTGAAGAAACTTTCTGAAAAAGATGCTTATTTTCTCCACCTTAAAACTTATCTGCCAATGGAAACACCTGAGTTATTTGTTTGTTTGGAAAGGAGATTTAAAAAAAAAAAAAACAAAAGCAAAAAGAAAACCCCATTACTGTGCTTCAGGTTACATGATACTGTCAGGAACACAGAAACAA